TATTGCTGCTCTTGGGAGCCACCCCAGCAGCAACGCCTGCTCTGCTTCTGACTCACTGCAGCTCCCTGACGTTTGCCCCATCTGCGCTGGGCAGCCGGGCTCCCGTCCCACCGGGGGGCAGAGGCTGTGAAACCACACGGCCAAAGGGGCTGCCCTGCTGCGAGATGCTTTTGTTCATGTGAAATAAAGGATTCCTTAAAAAACTCAAGTGAAAATACTAGTTTTAATAAAACAAGAAGTTTATATAAAGGGAGCTGGACTTCCTCTGCGTGTGTATCATTGGTGCTTGGAAAAAAAAAAATACAGGACATGGAGCACACTTTGGCCTGAGTCTCTCCCTGTTTGCGCTGCGCACGTGGCTCATCTTTGTGCTCAGGACCATGGGGCTGGCGGGGGCTCTCGTGCCTCCACTTTCAGTCCCCGGGTCCTCATGGCAGCCAAGGCCTCAGGGAAGCAGCGCTGCGCTCAGCTGGGCTAGATCAAAGGAAAGCTGAAATCTTTTGTTCACACGAGTGGCACAGCTCGAAGAACAGCAGCCGTGTTAGGATGCTGCAAGTCCAGATGAAGGCAAGTGGGAAGAACTTTTTTAAAGTACTTGCTTTAAATAGCAAAGATGGTCATGTTTGTCAAACAATACACGCACGGTGCTGTAAATCAGCAAATCCTGATCTCGGTGAGCTGGAGCCCTCCCTGACCTTGCTCTTGGGGGCTGTTTGCCTGCGCTCGCAGAGGGCGTGGGTGGGCGTCAGGGCACAGCGCGCGTGATGCTGAGGGCCACAGACCCTGCACGAACCATGACAGAGCATCGCCCACGCGTGGGCACACGTCTGGCAGGAGCCTGGCTCAGGCACATGTCCCGCAGCGGTTTCCTGGCAGCCTGGGCTGGCACCCGGAGCCAGGGGTGCAAACGCAGCCCTTGGAGCATCTGCTGCGAGGAGCCAAGCACCCAGGCTTGTTCTGCCCGAGGCTGTTGCCTGGCTGTGCGCATGAGTCTGCTTTTAATATCGTCTCCATGGGTTCCCCCACTAGCCCCAGCCCAAATAATATTGTCCTGCACAGATGTAGCAACACCACAGGCAGCACATAAACATGCGAGGACACAAACATAGGCACAAAGTGGATAAACTAGGATGCTACAAAACAGGACTATGGTTACCTTAACTGAGTAAAGAGCAGATTCTTTTTGAAATTTGGCATTAAAATGATTTGAAAGTCCAGTTGGGCACCAGCTGCTGTTGATGGATGGACGTGGGTCGCATCCTGTGGAATTTGAGCCCAGTCTATGCAAGATGCACAAATACTGCACAGAAAGGAGTTGCCTTTGGTCTCCCTGGATCACAGGCACGAGGCCACAGTCCAGAATTTGAGTCTACCACAAAATATTAAGATTATGACAATGACATTTTATTATATTGCCTTTCTAGGCTGGTATAGCTTTATGGGATCATTTAAAAAATATTTTGATCATTTCAAACTTGTAAATGGTGAGCGTAAGGACTCTCAAGAAGGCTATTTAATTATGTCCTGTAACGAAGACTCTAGGTGGCTAAAATTAGAACTGGCAAAAGTTATGAATATTGATTAGCTCTGTGCATGCCAAAAATCAGTTCATTTAAAAAAAGAAATTGTAACTAACCAATTCTTAATAGGGGAGGAACCAGGACTGCCTCCTTATATGTTTGGTGGTAGGGGTTTTTAAAATATAAAATGTTTATATACATTACACATGTATAAACACACATTTGTACCAGCTTGCCACATGTTCTGCAGGGGTTCATCTAAGGCCATAGACAAGTATTTCTTGGGCCACTGTGCACAATCCCTGCTACTGCCTGCATCCCCACATGCAAGTTATTCACACAAATACACCGACTGCCATCCTGAAAGCAGCTGCAGACGTGCAAAAAAAGTAGAAGCGCAGCCCCAGCTAGTGCTGCCCAAGTCAGAGAGGAAAGTTTTGTCTGCTTCCCTCTCCGGGAAGGCCAATCCCCTCTGGCCACAGAGCACTTCTGGCAGACCTCGACCCAAGTAGCTGTAATTGTCCCATCTTCTCCAGAACTTGGTTTAGAGATTGCACATCCTGCCCACTCTCCATGGGCTTCTCTCTCAACAGAGAGTATCCCAAACAAAAAACTTGAGACCCTCATGCCCTGTGAGCTGCCCCAGGCAAACCTCTGCAGCATCTGGGCAGGTGAGGTGCTGGCTGGAGTCCAAAAGCACCAAGATCGCAAGGATGGATGTCTCTGAAGCTGCAAATGGTTATGTCCAGCGCAGATTTTGGGCCAAATCTTAGTGGGACTCCTGTACTTCACGCCAGGTCGGGGAGTGACGCTAGCGATAAATCTACTAAAAACAATCAGATTAAGTTGTATTTGAGACTGTCATGCTGCAGAAGCCTATTGGCGAATAATAGGTTTTACTGAATTATTTCTCCCCTGGCACTCATTTTAATGAGACAGAGGCAGATGAAGAAAACTACTAAAAAAAAAAAAAAAGCCCCAAGCAAGTTCCCTGCAAGGCAGGTTCTCCTACGCTTAACAAGCTCTATGCTTATCATACCGAGCTTCAATTAACCAGAATGTTTTAGTTATAAAAAAAAAAAAAAACAAAAAAAAAAACACAGGACTATCACTTCATTAAAAGCCATGATGGTGTTCACTTCACATACATTTTCCTTCTCATTTTGTATGCAATAGCAGCATATTACAAACGGAAACGTGCGTGCAATTCCCTCAAGCTTTCACTTTTCTTCAGGAACTTGAGTCATAAGCCAGCAAAGCAGAGATGCTACATTTGAAAAAGGAGAAGAGTTTAACACTGAAATTTTTCCAAGTGAACAACTGGCACAATAAACAAGGTGGAATCACGATTCTCCATCAAACTGCACAAGAGGACAGGCAGCAACGATGCAGGGAGACACAGTCCCTACAAGCCCGGCCAGACATAAAACCGCCGTGGGCATAGCAGGGTGCTGCACCTCACAGCACCAAGCCAGAATCAGGCCAGGCCGGCCGGGAGACAGAACAGCCAGCCCCTCTCCCCTGCCAGAGCTCAAGTCCTGGAAAACATGGACATGTAGATGGGAGACAACTTCTCTGCAGCAGGAGACTGGGTCAGCATCTCAATTAGAGGTGTACTTACTCCTCAAGTGCACTTGCACTCTTCTACAGAGAGTGGGGGAAGAAAAAAAAAATGGAATAAAAAAAAAAAAGAGGAGGTAAACCTTACTAGGAACAGAGGGCATAATAGAAGAGAAAATGGTTTTGCTTCCTAAGCCTTCAGAGCAACACTAAAAAAGCATGAATGTCATCACCAGCCTTCATGTGCAACTCAGCCATTCTGCACTGCTTTATTAATTTTCCATTAAACTCATTTCTACTAAAACCCATTATTCATCACTAAGACCAAGCTACTACTCTACTACAGCAACATTAACCTCCATAAAATAATTAAAGGATGGATTATCAGCATGAGACCTTATGTGTCACCTCTCCGGAACCTAATGTGTCTTTCAATGGCCTAGAATATAATGAGATGTTCAAATATAGAAAGTTGAGTTACTGCTTTTCTCAGTTGTGACATTTATTCAGCCAGAAAGATCCAACTTCTCAACTGCATTACTTATAATTTACTTTTGACCCTGGGTAGTTGAGAGTAATCTTCAAGGAAGCTATCCCTTTGAATCTCTTTTTTATATTAGCATTTAATTACTCTAACAAATTTCCAGATGTACAAATTATAACAGACTGTAAATCAGCTCTTCCCCTTTGAACCACAACGTCTCAGAGGAAGGAATTTTTTAGCCTTCTTCATACTCAGACCAGCAAACCTATCTATCTCTGAGCATTTTTTTCTTGCTCCTTACAGCATCTATTTATCCCCAGTTGCTGGTTCTCAGGTCAGAAGCTTTTCCTGGTGCAACACTCAGCCTGCCACCCAAACCCCACAGCCCACTTGCGATCTGCCAGCCTCTCAAGCGGCACCATAGTGCTGCTTTTCTTACAAGTACAGCAAC